ACAGGACATGGCTGGCATGGAAACACTCTCCCTGGAAGAAGAAAAAAATGCACACTATAAACAAAACTAAAAGGTAGACAGACGATAGTTCTGAGGTTCCCAAATAACCCTGCCACTAAATACAAAGTGCTGAATAAAATAGTTTTAAAAATATATCTGAATGTATTGTTGCATTGACAAGAATTTAATCTTCTGAGGCCAAATATGAAGCAAGAACTGAATTCATGGGGACCGCAGAGGGGGAGGTAAGCTAATTCTGAAGCTGGCAGCTTCCCTGAGGCACCTGCTCAACATTTGCGACCTTGAAATTCTGCTCTGAGAGCTACGAGGATGCAAGAGACAGAAGACAAAACTCTCAGGGAGGGAGTCTGAGAGGAAACTGCTGTATCAAGCGGGAACCAGAGCTATACCCTGGGTGTCAGGCAGACAGAAACCAACCTGTCCTGCAGAAGGAAAACAGCAAGGTCCCTCAATCCTGTTCTTAGGTAAAAGAAAAAGAAACCTCAGCCCAGAATTTGTAGCCATAAAGCTGGCCCCAATGCAGCACAAACTCAAAATATCTATGTTGGGTACAACACAAGCCAAATGTGCTTAAATTAAAAGTGGTCTTGAACACACACACACACACACACACACACACACACACACGGGAAATAGTGGTCCTGATATATAGTGCCTTCAGGTACCTGGCAGAAACAACTGTGAATGCTCTCTAAATGAATATGACCACAATCCAATTTCATAATTTACTGATAAATTCTAAAGAATTAAGAGATCACAGTAGACAAAAAAAAGTCACAAAATATATAGGGGAAAAGGTATCCATGGACATAAGTCAGCAAACTGGACAAGCAAAGACTTCAAATATTGGAATTATCAGACTAAAAATATTAGTACATAAAATTACATTAAAATAACTAAGAAATTGAAAATGAGAGAAAATTATAAATAATGTCTTTTTAAAAAGCCTAAATGGAAATTCTAGAAATGAAATAATATAATAATTAAAATTAGGAAATGCAGCAGCAGATTAAATATGGTTAAAAAGAGAATTAAGGATTACAAGAGAATGCCCAGATGACATAAAAAGACAGACAATATGAAAACCAGGTGAAGATACAAAAGGAAGATACAGTGAGAAAGTCCAACATATCGATATATCTAACTGTGGTTCTAGCAGAAGAGAAATCAAGAAGAAATGGCAACATTCCACAGGGTAATGGCTGAGAACTTTACAGAACGAATAAAAAAAAGTATGAATCCTTGGAGACCTAAATAAAAAAAGAAATATAAACCCCTGTCATAGTGAAACTGCAGAAAATCACAGGGAAAAAATAGGTCTTAAAAAACTCCCACATGAAAAAAATGACAAGCCATCTATAGAAGATGACAGTCTAACTGCTGACTTTTCAACAGCAGTCATGGAAGCCAAAAGACATTGGATAGTTTCAACGTGCTGAGAGAGGAAAAATAGAATTGAATGCTCGGCAAAACTATCTTTGAAAAACATCTTGAAGACTATGTTTCAAAATAGAAACATTTCAGTCAAATGAGTTTATCAACCACATCCACTAAAGAAAATTATGGAGAATTTATTTCAAGCAGAAGAAAAATAATCCTGGATGAAACCTATGAGATGCAAGAAGAAATAATGAGCAAAAAGATGGTAAACATGTGCATAAATATAAAGAAATGGATTTATAAAAATTTCTCACTTGTGGGATTAACAAAATAAGAGCAAATCCTGGCTAACAACAGCACATAAATTGGGAGGGTACAATCAGAATCACATTATAGGAGAAAGGTAACTTTAAATCATGTCAACAATGCATTTTGAAGTTCTTCAAATTGAACCATACGGAATAGAAATACAGTATGTCACTTCTGAGTGGTAGAGCTTGAAATGATATAAAATTTCCATTGAGAGAAATCTATGACTATTGCCTAAAACCAAAACCAAAATATCAATAAATAGCAACAGAAGCATGTTATTTACATAGCTGGATGTAATCACAAAGAGAATCAGTTAAAAGGGTTGAAAATGGTTCATTCTAGGAAGCAGAAAATGATGATAGTAGGAGTGCGCAGGGTTCTATAATAGCTTTATAGAATACATATCTGGTTTTTATACTATGTATAAGTTGGATAAAAATAAAAGTAAAAATTTATAAAAGTTGAATAACAAACCGGAGTAAATGTCTGCAGTACATGCTAAGTTTAGCATTAAAAAAAAAACAACCACAAAACAAACTATAGTTTATTGATTTTTCACAGAGAGGAAGAAAAAAGGATAGAGAGTTAGAAACATCCATGAGAGAGAATCATCGATCAGCTGCCTCTTGCACACCCCCTACTAGGGATGTGCTCGCAACTAAGGTACACGCTCTTGACCGGAATCGAACCTGACACTTTTCAGTCCGCAGGCCGATGCTCTATCCACTGAGCCAAACCGGTTTCGGCAAGTTTAGCATTCTTAATTCATGAAGGACTCTTTCACATT